GTCTCATGCCACAGCCCCAACTGGAGACTCTGATTCTATCATCAGATAACTGGAAAGGACAGAGGGAGCAGTCTCTGCTCCTGGGATTTGGTGGCCTGTAACATCGGCAGCTCCCCTGTTGAACTCTCCCTTCTGCGGAATGGCGGCGGTGAGGGGAGGTTGGAAGATGCCGAGTGAGCCCCCGCCCTCTGACCTGCTGCCTCTCCTTCCTCAGGTTGTCTTTCTACTCTGGACATGCCTCCTTTGGGATGTACTGCATGGTGTTCCTGGTGATCAGTCCGTTTTTCTGGGGCTCGCCCGTCAAGTCACTCCCTTCCCTCGACCTCGGTTTTTCCAGCTGTAAAATGGGTGGGTCGTGGTGATGATGGGGGCGCTCACTGACTTGTTTGTGAAAACAGGAGGCCCTGGGCTGGCCGGTTCTGTGCCCCCGGCCTCGGAGCTGCCATCTGTGCAGTTGGCGTGGGAGTGCCTGGCAGGGCACAGGCTGAGGCGCCCTCTCCCGTCCCAGGTCTACGTGCAGGCGCGGCTCTGCTGGAAGTGGGCGCGGCTGCTGCGGCCCACGGTCCAGTTCTTCCTGGTGGCCTTTGCCCTCTATGTGGGCCACACCCGCGTGTCTGATCACAACCACCACTGGAGCGACGTCCTTGCTGGCCTCCTGCAGGGGACGCTGGTGGCTGGCCTCACTGTGAGCTTCTGACCCTGACTCACCCCCTGTGCTGTCCAGAGACCACTCCCTGCACAACCCTGGTCCTTCCCTGCACACTCTTGCCCCACGGAGTCCTCCCCTGGGACCCCTTCCTCCAACCGTGGTCCTTCCCTGGGACACCTCTTTCCCCTGGTTTCTCCTCTGGAACCCCCACCCCAAACTCAAGTCCTTATCTTGACCCCTCCTTCCCCCCCAGATCCTCCCCTGGGACCCCTTCCCCCAACCCCAGTCCGTCCCTGGACCCCTCCTTCCCTGAGATCCCTCCTTCCCCTGATTCCTCCCCTTGGACCCCTTCCCCAACACGAGTCCATCCCTGGACCCCTCTTCCCCCATTCCTCACCTGGGACCCCTTCCCCCAACCCCAGTCCTTCCCTGGGACCCCTTTTCCCCCCTATTTCTCCTCTGGGACCCCCCAACCCCAGTCCATCCCAGGAAACTTCCCTCCCCCTCCACATCTTCCCCGAGACTCCTTCCACCAACCCCAGTCCTTTCTGAGACGCCTCCTTCCCCACATTCCTCCCTGGGACTCCTTCCCCCAACCCTAGTCCATACCTGGGACCCCCTCTTCCCCCCAATTCTCCTCTGGGACCCCTTCTTCCCAACCCCAGTCCTTCCCTGGGACCCCTTTCCCCCCTCATTTCTCCTCTGGGATTCCCCAACCCCAGTCCTTTCTGAGGTTCCCTCCCTTCCCCCCATTCCTCCCCTGGGACCCTTTTCCCCAACCCCAGTCCATCCCTGGGACCCCTCCTTCCCCCATTCCTCTGCTGATACTACTTCCCCCAACCCCAGTCCTTCCCTGGCCCCTCCATTCCCCCCCACATCCTACCCTGGGACCCCTTGTCCCAACCCTAGTCCATTCATGGAACCCCTCCTTCCCCCATTCTTCCCTGGGACCCCTCTCCCCAAACCCAGTCCTTCCCTGGACACCTTCTTCCCCCAGTTCCTTCCCTGGGTCTCCTGCCTGCACACCGCAGCCCTTCCCTGGGACCGTCAGCACCCCAGTGCTCTCCACTGGTCCTCCACCAAGAGGGCTCTCTTCCCCCCACAGACACTCTTCCTCTCATTGCCCACCTGGGACCCTGTTCCTCCCCCTCCTGCTCATGCCCATGTCCTTGGTGCCTGCCCAGCCCCTGCCCAGTCTCACCTTCCTCCACTCTGCCAGGTCCGCTACATCTCAGACTTCTTCAAAGCCCGATCTCCACAGGACTGCCCAAAGGAGGAGGAGCTGGAACGGAAGCCCAGCCTGTCACTGACAGTGACCCTGGGCGAAGCTGACCACAACCACTATGGGTACCTGCACTCCTCCTCCTGAGGCTGGACCCCGCCCAAGCAGGGAGTGGCTGTGAGTCCAGCTGAGGCCGGCCCCCCAGGTGGTCTCTCTGGCCCTGGGTAGGCACTGAGGGCTCCGGATGGGATCCAAGAACCCTGAGCAGGCTCTGAAGCCCCCTGCCCTGTACTGGACCAGGGGTCTGGGGAGGCCTAGGTAGCCCTGGGCATTTGGAGGGGGACCTGTTCCCGTAGCTCCCCAAATATCCCCATTCTTTTATGGGGTTAAGGAAGGGACTGTTTTGTAAAATGTAACGGACATGTGGCTTTTAGTAAAATGGGGCATTGGTTTGATGAGTGGTCTCAGTGCCTCTGTTCCTTATGGCCATTCTGGGACGGTGTTCCTCCCGTCAGAGGGCTCCACAGAGCTCAGGCATCAGGCCACCTCACCCGCTGTGACGGTGGAGGGCAGCAGCCAAGCCCGCCCCTTGCGTTTCTCCCTGCACGGCGCTGTGGTCAAGGGTCAGATGGGTCAGCACACCCCTCCTCTCTGCTCATGTCCACCCCGTGCACCTGGGGGCCACGCTTCTGAAATGGGTCATTCAGGGGCTGGTTTCCCTGAAGTGACGGCAGAACACACAGAGCTTACTTTTTCAACAGGAGGGTAAAGGGTACATTTGTTTTTTGTACAGGCTGTAACTTAAGTCTCTGCTGATGTTTTGTTTGCACCTGGAACCTCTCTTATTCCCTCATCCTGCAGGGTGTTCCTATCAGGCCTTGGCCTATGGGAATGGTGGCGTAGCCCTGAGGGCAAAAGTGCAGCCTGGAGCCCCACCCAAGGGGCCACGGTGGAGACCTGCTCTTGGAGGACGGGAGGGAAGGTGACCCGGACCCTGCGGAACTCCAGCTGAACGTCAGGGACTTGCCTCCATGCAGGTGTCAGAAGGGACCCTGGCCAGGAAAGTCACACTGAAGCCTCCCAGATATCCTAGGGTGCCGCAGCAGGCAGTGGCACCCGAGGACTAAGGAGGCTGTGTCTGGGCTCAGAATGTATCTCTGGCAGTGGGTGGGAGAGAGGTTCCCAGCCAGATCCCACAGGGAGAGTCACTGCATCAGGAGCAAATGGGAATGACCCAGGTGCCCTGACTGCAGCCGACACCTCCGTCTCCTCCCAGGCACAATGGCCTTGAAAGCCAGGACCACAGTGAGGGTTGAGCGCAAGTCTGTGGGAGCAGCTACAGTGCACAGGACTCCGGTGTGGTCTGCTGGGGGCAGGTGGCCGTGTTGGGACGAGCGGTGAAGACAGAGGAGTGGAGGAAGTTTGGAGTGAGGGAGAGGAGGATGTGGCTGAGGCTGGCTGCTGGCCTCGGCTGGGGGAGTCTCGGTGCTTCAGAAAGAGCACGTGAAGCCCACGGCTGTGAGAGCAGAGAACGAAAGGGCTGTACTGACCAGAGCCATCCCCAGAGGGTCCTCAGGAGCCAGGAGGGCCCAGCTTTGGGAGCTGTTTGGGTGCTGCCCAGCTGGGCTACGCACGCACTGCTCTGCATCTGTTGAGAAAAGCCGGGACATAGGGTGTCGGGCTCAGGAATTCTCACAGGTTCCCAGTACCAAGATGGCAGGCAGGGCAGCAGTTAGGACACATTTCTCCACCCACGCGGAGCTCTGGGGAAGCTCTCATGCGTAATTTTGGGTTTACACTGCCCACACCCTTATGGGTTCATGGAAAAAAATAGTATTTTCTCTCTTTGTACAAGGAGGATATTTTTTTT